ACAACAAAAACAAAATTGCTAGAAGAGCTCAACAGGTCTGGCAGCATCTGTGAAGGAAAAAACAGAGTTACCATTTCGGGTCCGGTGACCCTTCCTCAGAACACCGGACTCGAAACGTTAACTCTGTTTTTCCCTTCACAGATGCTGCCAGACCTGCTGAGCTTTTCTAGCAATTTTGTTTTTGTTCCTGATTTACAGCATCTGCATTTCTTTCGGTTTTTAGTTATACTGTTCTTCCAGCTCTGATGAAGAGTCATCTAGACTCAACACATTAGCTTGCTCTCTCTCTCTCTCTCTCCATGGATGCTGCTTGACCTGCTCTGATTCCCAACATTGTTTGCTTTCAGTACAAGATTCCAGCATCTGCAGTAATTTGTTCCTGCTGTCCTTCCAGCTTGCGCTGAGCTTCGCTGGAGCACTGCAGCAAGCCCAGGACAGAGATGTTGCCCAGGGAACACAGTGGTGTGTTGCAGTGGCAGGCAACTGGAAGCTTGGGGTCGCCCTGTCTGCGTTTCATCTTCCCATTGTAGATGAGACCACAGTGAGAGCAGTAAATACATTGAAAATTATAGCTGGTGTAGGCCATTCAGTCCCTCGGGCCTGCTACGCCATTTGGTATAATCATGCTGATTGAGCTCAATACCCTAATTCTGCCCTCTCCCTATATTCCTTGATCATTTTAGCCACAAAAAAAATTATATCTACCTCCTTCTTGAAAACACAATGTTTTTGCCTCAACCACTTTCTGTGATAGCGAATTCCACAGGCTCGCTACTCTATAGGTGAAGAATTTCTCCTCATTTCAGTCCTAAAGGTTACCCCTTATCTTTAAACAATGCCCCCTGGTTCTGGACTCCCCACTATCTTTCTTGCATCTAACCTCTCTAGACCTGGTAGAATTTTGTAGGTTTCAATGAGATCGCCTCCCCATTCTTCTAAGCTCCACTGAATAGAATCCTAACTGACTCAATCTCTCCTCATATGTCAAACCTGCCAACCCTGAAATCAATTTTGGTAAACCTTCGCTGTTCTTCCTTCTACAGCAAGAATGTCCTTTCTCAGACAAGGAGATCAAAAACAGCACAAAATATTCCATCAATGCCCTGTATAATTGTAGCAAGACATCCCTGCTCCTGTACTGGAATCCTCTCGCTTTGAGGGCCAATAAATAGTTTACCTTCTTTAGTACACTAGTTTGAGAGAAGGGCAGGTACATCACTGCTTCACCTGAAAGGTGTTTCTGTAGCCTTGGATGGTGATGAGAGAGGGGGTATCTCAGATCCTTCTTTCACTTTACAATATTTAGGTGCTTGGTTATGTCAGGTGCAGACTTAGGGTCATAGAATCAAATAGCACAGAAATAGACCTCTCGGTGCAATTAGTCCATACCGACCAGATGTCCCAATCCGAACTAGTCCCATTTGCCAGCATTTGTCCCATATCTCTAAACCCTCCCATCCAGATGCCTTTTAAATGTTGTAATTGTACCAGCCTCCACCACTTCCTCTGGCAGCTCATTCCATACACGCACCACCCTCTGTGTGAAAAAGTTACCCCTCAGATCCCTTTTAAGTCTTTCCCCTCTCACCTTAACCCTATACCCTTTAGTTTTGGACTACCCCACCCTAGGGAAAAGACCTTGCCTATTTACCCTCTCCATCCCCCTCATGATTTTATAAACCTCCAAAAGGTCACCCCTCAGCCTCTGACATTCCAGAGGAAACAGCCCCAGTCTATCCAGCCTGTCCCTGTAGCTCAAACCCTCCAACCCCAGGAACATCCTTGTAAATCTTTTCTGAACTCCTTCAAGTTTCACAACATCCTTCCTATAGAAGGGAGACCAGATTTGCACACAGTACTCCAATAGTGGCCTAACTAATGTCCTGCACAGTCACAACATGACCTCCCAACTCCTATACTCAATGCATAGACCAATAAATGAAAGCATACTAAATGCCTTCTTCATTATTCTGTTTATCTGTGACTCCACTTTCAAAGAGCTATGAACCTGCACTCCGAGGTCTCTTTGTTCAGCAACACTCCCCAGAACCTTGGGGTGGCGTGGTAGCTCTGTGGTTAGCACTACTGCCTCACAGTATCAGAGACCTGGGTTCAATTCCAGCCTCAGGTGACTACCTGTGTGGAAAATGCACATTCTCCCTGTGTCTGTGTGGGTTTCCTCCAGGAGCTCTGGTTTCCTCCCACAGTCCAAAGATGTGCAGGCTAGGTCAGTTGAACATAGTGTTCCATAGCCGTAGTGTTCAGGGATGCCTAGATTAGGTGTGTTATAGGGGGATGGGTCTGGGTGAGATGTTCTGAGGGTCAGTGTGGATTTGCTGGGCCAAAGGGCTTGTTTCCACACTGTAGGGATTCTACGATCTATGAACATTACCATTAACTGTATAAGTCCTGCTCTGATTTGCCTTTCAAAAAAATGCAATACCTCACATTTATCTAAATTAAACTATATTTGCCACACCTCGGGCCATTGGCCCAACTGATCAAGATCCCATTGTACTCTGAGGTATCTTTCTTCAGTGTCCACTACACCTCCAATTTGGTGTCATCTGCAACCTTACTAACCATACTTCCTATGTTCATATCCAAATCATTTATATAAACGATGAAAAGCAGTTGACCCAGCACCAATCCTTGTGGCTGGTCACAGGCCTCCAGTACAAAAAGCAACCCTCCACCACCAGCCTCTGTCTTCTACCTTTGAGCCAGTTCTGTATCCAAATGGCTAGTTCTCCCTATATTCCACGTGATCTAACCTTGCTAACCAATCTCCATGAGGAACCTTGTTGAACGCCTTACTGAAGTCCACATATATCACTTCTACCGCTCTGCCCTCTTCAATCCTCCTCCTTACCTCTTCAAAAAAGTCAATCAAGTTAGTGAGAAATGATTTCCCAAGCAGAAAGCCATGTTGACTCTCCCTAATCAGTCCTTGTCTTTCCAAATACATGTAAGTCCAGTCCTTAGGGATTCCCTCCAACAACTTGCCTCAGAATAAAGGGCTCCAATCTCAGACTGAGGCGAGGAAAAATTTCTTCACACAGAGGGTTGAGAGTCTTTGGAACTCCTTGCCACAGAGAGCTGTAAGGTGCCTTATGTATATTTAAGGCTGAGATAGATTCTTGATCAAACGTTAAAGGGAAAGGACAGGAAAGTGCATGTAAGGACTGTCAGATCAGCTACAATCCTACTGAATGATGGAGCAGTTTCAACGGGCTGAATGGCCTGTTTCAGTTCCTATTTCTTATAGTCAGCGCCCCCTGTGGCCGGGGACTGTCATTGCAGGACTGGGGATGGTGTCCGGAGGAAGGCGACAACGGCCCCTGTTGCCGGACACCTGTCGTTGCAGGAGGCGGGGGAGGCCACGCCCCTCACCGCTGTGGGCGTGGCTGCAGCTCCCGCCGGTGTTGGTCACGTGTCGCTTCATGGTCAGGTGATACCGGCTCCAAGATGGCCGCGCTGGCTGAATCCCTGTCGCTGGAGAGAGGTGAGTGGAATAGCTGACCACCTCGAAACCCTGCTGCTGCTGCTGCTGCTGCCGCCGCCGCCGCCGCCGCCGCCGCATCTCTTTCTCTTTCTCTTTCTCTTTCCCTTTCCCTTTCCACGGGGCCACTGAGAGCCTGCGAAGGGCCGGCATTTCCCCTCGACATTTCATTCCTGATCCCGTTAAAGCCATGAATGAGTGGGAGCGCTATCCGCATAGCCAATCAGAGCCTGAACTCTGTGATTGACAGCAGGATGGACCAATGGGGAAGAGGTGACTATTAATATACATGAGGAGACCGACCAGTAGAGAAAAGGGGCGGGATTTATGGGGACGTTTTCCAGAATTATGGCTGATATATTTCAGTAAAATATCTTCAAACCAAAATATGTATCAGTATCTATTTTAGTAATACGTCTCATTCTTAAATCTGTATATGTATATAATCAGATGTGTCAATATATATGTTAACAATGTTTCATAACTTTATCAGTATATATTTGTCTCATATGTCTATCAATACATATTTCAGTTATATATTTTGTATCTCTCAGATATATTTTTGAATGAATTTTGCACATTTCATATATCTATCAAATTCTCATTCAGTAATACTGAAACGTAGAGAATTATATCCCTGAAAGATATGCGAGGTATATTAGTGAATTCTATAATGACGTATATATGAAACATACTTCTGAATACATTTAGCGTTTGCCTCTATAAGATATAGGACACATTACTGAAATACATGCTGGTATGTATCTGAAACATACAAAATGTGGGAAAATATGTTTTTCAGATATCTGAAATAAATTTTGATATACATGTATGTTTCAGTTATAGCTATCAGTATGTTTCAGCAATTTATCTATATATTGCAGTATATATATAGTATACATTTCACATATGTATCAGAGCATAGAGGACTGAGTTAATTAAAATAAAATCAGTGACCGGACCACTTCTTCCACAATTGTGCTGCCTTGTCATTAGCGCCATAAGACATTCCCAAAGTTTCTCACATCCAATGCTCAAAAGTGCAGCAGGCAACAAAATCTTTAAGACAGTTAGCAGGGTGTTTAACAAGCCAATAATTAGTCATTCCAGAACAACTGATGATTTTGTATGATCCACCCAACAACAACACGCTCTATTTAACATGTGCACAGGTAGGATAGGCAGGGGCTGTTCATATTTTTTGTTTCTCTATTCATTCATGGGATGAAGGCTGGCTAGGCAGCATTTATTGTCCATCCCTAATTGCCCCCAGGGCATTTAAGAATCAACCGCATTGCTGTGGGTCTGGAGTCACATGTCGGCCAGACCAGGTAAGGCTGGCAGTTTCCTTCCCTAAAGGACATCAGTGAACTAGATGGGTTTTTCCTGACAATTGACAATGGATTCACGGTCATCATTAGATTCTTAATTTCAGATATTTTATTGAATTCAAATTCCACCATCCCCAGAACATTATCTGGGTCTCTGGATTAACAGCCCAGCGATAATACCACTAGGCCATTGCCTCCCCTATTATGGCTGTAAAATTGAGCCCAGGTTTTGGTACTGTTGATTGAAGTATACATGCTAGTCAGAACCCTGGAGAGGACCTCTCAATCTTCTTCAAGTATGAGATCTCTTGCACTCCACCTGAGAAGGCAAGCAGCAGCAAGTTAATGATTGCGCGTGGCTGTCAGTGAGGCAAGGGTTCCCAGACTGGTTCCAGAAGCCACGGCCACACACCAGAAAATAAATTAGAGGGAGCAAGAATACTTCTGGCAAGGAATGGGGCAGAAATGTCAAGCTTGAACACTACCTGCAAGCTAAATGCTTAATTGCTGCTTTCTGCATGTTCCAGATGTTGCCAGAGCGATCGAGCTGCTGGAGAAGTTACAACGAAGCGGCAACGTTCCCCCGCAGAAACTGCAGACACTGCAGCGAGTTCTTCAGAGCAAGTTCTGCTCTGCCATCCGAGAGGTCAGTACACAATCTGTGACTATAGCTTTGCTCCCTAAATGCACGCACTCATCAAACTGAACATCAGCAAATGTGTTTGTGTATTGTAGATCTTTCTGCATGCGTCAGCCTTAGAAGGAAAGAAGCTTATTTGCACATTTTACAGTTGCATCTGATTAAAAATGAATTTTACTCTTTCTAACATGTAAGATTTTAACAAAGAGCGCAGTGAGAATTTAAAATTCGCTGCAACGTGGAGTAGTTGAGGTGAACCGCATTGATATATTTTCGGTGAAGTTGGTGAACATATATAGGAGAAAGGAATAGAAGGCTATGCTGTTAGAGTGTTGGGTGCAGTGGGGGGTAGTGGGGAAGACTTCTGTGGTGTATAACATTGGCTTAGACCAATTAATCTTAATTAGCCTGTTTCTGTGTTGTGAATTCTATGTAGCTCACCTGTCCATATCAAGAAGTATGTTTCAAAAAGTTCCCAGTCAATTCTGATGCTCAAGTCTTTAATAAGAAATTGTCAGACTGCAATTACACACGTCATAAGTAATAAGGTTGTTTTGCCCAAGGTTTGTGTCTTCTCGCACCTTAGCCTGTACTACAGAGAATATCCCTACCAAATTTAACTGAAGAATATACTTGGTCTTAATGTCCATTTACAGCATCAGTGAAGATCAGCCAGTAATACCTTGTTTCAGAGATAGTAGGAACTGCAGATGCTGCAGAATCTGAGATAACAAGGTGTAGAGCTGGATGAGCACAGCAGGCCAAGCAGCATCAGAGGAGCAGGAAAGCTGAGGTTTCGGGCCTAGACCCTTCTTCAGAAATGGGGGAGGGGAAGGGGATTCTGAAATAAATAGGGAGAGAGGGGGAGGCGGATAGAAGATGGATAAAGGAGCAGTTTCAGGGCCGAAGAGATTACGAGAGAGTTGCAGTGGGAGAGAGATCCACTGAGGTCTTTCCGGAAAGAGGAGGGTAACTTCTTCAAGGTAGGCATCCTTAGAAGAGGCTTCACAGTGGGGTTAAAATTGTTTCAGAGATATTAGGAACTGCAGATGCTGGAGAATCTGAGATAACAAGGTGTAGAGCTGGATGAAAGACCTCAGTGGATCTCACTGAAACTCTCTCGTAATCTCTTCGGCCCTGAAACTGCTCCTTTATCCATCTTCTATCCGCCTCCCCCTCTCTCCCTATTTATTTCAGAATCCCCTTCCCCTCCCCCATTTCTGATGAAGGGTCTAGGCCCGAAACATCAGCTTTCCTGCTCCTCTGATGCTGCTTGGCCTGCTGTGTTCATCCAGCTCTACACCTTGTTATCTCAGTAATACCTTGTGCCTGCATACTGTTTTGACAATAGAATATTGATCTCTGTTCTCACGTTTAAGTCATGCACTTATATTAACACTATTATTATTCTTGCACCCACATTTGAGATGGAAACTGCATATGTAAACGTCACACTGTAATTACACCCACTGACCACTGGAAATGCTGCAGGACAATTCTAGGCAGGTGCCATTTTAGATCTGTTTTGTTTGCCTACATACTGTGGTTTTTAAGTGTGGATGCAGAATTGTGTAATGAGAAAGGTTAACATATTGTGTGAGAGTAAGGGCAGACCATAAATTGTGCGCTCTGTTCCAGTAATCCTGCACCTCACCTCAAACTCATACTGGATCTTTACTGACTGAGTGAAAGACCATGGGAGAACAGCTCAAAGTCTTTTTAAAAGTCTGGCATATACGTGTAATGCCAAGTTTCCTTAATATGTTTTGCGCCATACTTGATTAACAGTCTTGTTGGTATAATTATACCATGAAGATGCCACAAGAGATCCGACAGCATTAGATTGTAATCCATGAGTGACTGTCTTTTGTACTGGGGTTGATTATAGTTATTAGTCTATTACATTAATTTTTGAGAGTGCTGTGCTGCTCCATAATGACACAGGGTGCTGTGAGATTACTTCCGTGCAGGGGCTGTACAATTGGCTAACATGCTGGGAGCCACAGACTTGCTGAAACTGTGTAGAATTCCTGGCATGTTGCAAATATATAAAGGGGTTGCACCAGTGCAGATTAGCTTAAGCAGTTAACACTATCAAACACCAGAATTAGCATCAAAAGGTGTGTTTTTGAAATTTTATGCATTTTTTTTTGTTTTCTACCCCTGTAAACTTGTCTTTTGACAGGTTTTGTCATTTAGCTGAGTGCAGATGGTATAAGGAGGACGGCAGGAGAACATAATGGATGGATTCTTGGGATGTCAAGTTAGTCAGAGGAGAGATTGAGTCACCTGGCTCTGTATTCAGTAGAGTTTTAAAGAATGAGAGGCGATCTCACCATCACATGTACAGTTCTGACAGGCCTGGACAGACAGGATGCAGGAATGATGTTTCTCCTGGCCTGGGGGCCTAGGTCAAGGGTCACATTCTTAGGATATGCATTCAATCGTTTCAGACTGAGATAAGGGCAAATTTCTTCACGCAGAGAGTGCTGAGCCTGTGAATTCTCTACCAGTGTGGAGGAATAGAAATAAATAGGTTTTTAGAAGCTAACGGTGTCAAAGAGTCTGCAAGGGAGCCGGAGTATGGCATTAAGGTAGAGGATTGGCCATGATCATATTAAATGGTGGAGCAGGCTCACTGGGAAAATGACCTAATCCTGCTTCTGTTTTCTGTGTTCCGTGTTCCCATACCCTGTTTCTCATTCCAGGTGTACGAACAGCTTTACGAGACACTCGACATCAGTGGCAGTCCTGAGATCCGAGCCCACGCAACAGCCAAGGTACCCACAGCCTGATGAACCCGGGTCCCTCACTGAGCACAAGTAACAAGGTATTTGCGAACCTGTGACCACAGGATCAGAAGAAGGCCATAGTCTACCATCCAGTCGGGTCCTGGCTGCTCTGAACCGTAACCTGACGTACCTACCTGAGTGCAATCGCACTAAGCACCCTTACCTGACAAAAATCTATCAGTCTCAAATTTGAAAGTATCCACTGACCCTTAGCCACAAGAGATTTCTGGGGAGAACAGCCAGCTCTCCAGTCGTCTTTATGTGAAGACGTACTTCCTGATATTACTCCTGAATGGCCTGACTCAAATTTTAAGGTAATTCTGTGTCGCTCTGAACTCTTTGACCAGAGGGAACAACCTCCAATCAATTTTTTAAAATGAATTATTCATTCCTGGATTGTGCACCTCACTGGTAAGGCCAGCATTTATTGCCTTTCACTAATTTGAGTCATAGATGCACACAGCGCGGAAACAGACCCTTCAGTCTAACCAGTCCATGCCGACTATAATCCCAAATTAAACTAGTCCCACTGCCTGCGCTTAGCCCATATCCCTCCAAACATTTCTTATTCATGTACTTATCCAAATGGCTTTTAAACATTGTAACTTTACCTGCGTCCACCACTTCGTCTGGAAGTTCATTCCACACACAAGCTACTCTCAATTTAAAAAAGTTGCCCCCCATGTCCTTTCTAAATTTTTCTCCTCTCACCTTAAAATTGCCCCTTAGTTTTGAAATCCTCAACCCCTAGGGAAAAGATATGTACCATTCACCTTATCTATAGGCCTCATGATTTTATAAATCTCTATAGGGTTACCCCTCAACCTCCTACACTCCAGTTGCTCTTGAGAAGTTGTTACCAGGTTATAGTCCAACCGGTTTATTTGAAATCACAAGCTTTCGGAGCGCTCCTGATGAAGGAGCAGTGCTGTGAAAACTTGTGATTTCAAATAAACCCATTGGACTATAACCTAGTGTCATGTAACATCTGACTTTGTCCAGCCCATTCCAACACTGGTACCTCCCCATCATTGAGAAGCTGGTGATGAGATGCAATCCTGAGCTGCTGCAGTCCATTTAGTGTAGGCGCACTCCCAGTGCTTTTAGGAAGGAATTTCCAGGATTTTGATCCAGCAGTAGTGAAGGAACAGTGAGATAGTTCCAAGTCAGAATGGCAAGTGACTTAGCGCAGATCCTGTAGGTGCTGGGTTCCCATGTAACTGCTGTCCTTATTATTTGAGGTGGTATGGCTTTTGGGTTTGGAAGGAGCTTTGTCGGCTCCTGCAGTTTAACCTGTAGATGGAGCACACACTGCAGCCACTGTGTGCTGGTGGTGGATGCAGTGCTGATCAAGCGCGCTACTTTGTCTAAAGTGATAGCGGAACTGCACTCATCCAGGAAAATGGAGAGATTTCCATCACACTCCTGTTTGTGTCTTATAAATGGTGGACTGGCTCTGGAGATTCAGGAGGTAAGTTACTCACTGCAGGATTCCCAGCCTCTGATCTACCACTGTAGCTATCATATTCATACGCTTGTCCAGGCAGTGGTAGTTACGCAGAATGTTGACAATTTGGGATGCTCTTAAATGTCAATGGGAGGGGAATACCATAGACTTTGTTTGGCAGTTCTTCATAATGTCAGCTGACAAATGGACAAGGAGGAAGAGAACCCGCCTGTGTATTTATTCCACCCTACACCCAGAGGGGTAGCAGACTGACAGAGGACATTTAAACAATGGGACCAGTTTCTCTGTGTTAATTAATGGTCAGGGTTTACATTTTATTTAATGTATTTATTTCAACAAATGCTGAACATGATTGGTAATAGTGACTTTGTCAAAGAGGTTTATTTTAAGAATCACTTGTAAGGAAGATAGAGTCATTTAGATGGAGAGGCAGAAAGGTTTATGGAGGTAATTCTGGGACTTCCACCCCAGAGAGCCAAAGGGCCCGGTCCTGGTGGAGCGCTTTACTGTGGAGTGTGTTGATTTTCAAATGAGATGTTAAACCAAGGATCCGTCTCTCATCCCAGTTGAACAGGAGTGACCCTGTGGCCACTATTTGAAGAACATTGGTGGCGTAGTAGACAGTGAAGAAGGTTTTCTAAGATTACAAAGAGATCTTAATCAAATGGGTCAATGGGCTGAAAATGGCAGATGGAATTCAATTTGGATTATGCGAAGTATTGCATTTTGGTACAACAAACAAAGGTAGGACTTATACAATTAATGGTCGGCCCTTGGGTCGTGTTGTAGACAGAGGGACCTACGGGTTCAAGTACATAATTCTTTGAAGTTTGTCACATATAGACAGGATGGTTAAAAAGGTGTTTAGCACCCTGGCCTATATTGCTCAGACCTTTGAGTATGGGAGTTGGGAAGCCGTGCTGAGGTTATACAGGACATTGGTCAGGTCTCTTGTCCAGTTCTGGTTGCCCTGTTGTTCAAAGGATATTATTAAGCTAGAGAGGGTTCAGAAGAGATTTACCGGGATCTTTCCAAGTATGGAGGGTTTGAGTTATAAAGAAAGGCTGGATAGGCTGGGACTTTTTTCACTGGAGCATAGGAGGTTGAGAAGCAACCTTGTAGAGGTTTATAAAATCATGAGGAGTATAGAAAGGGTTAAATGGTAGATGTCTTTTTCCTAGGATGGAGAATTTCAAGACAAGGGGACATATTTTTAAAGTGAGAGGAGAGAGATTTAAAAAAAACATGAGGGGCAATTTTTTTACACAGAGGGTGGTTTGCGTACGGAATGAAGTTTCAGAGGAAATGGTTGATGTGGGCACGGTTACAATGTTTAAAAGACACTTAGCAAAGTAGATGAGTAGGAAAGGTTTGGAGGGAAATGGGCCATGTACAGACAGGTGGGAAAAGTTTAGTTTGGGCTTATGGTTGGCCTGGACTTGTTGCACCGAAGGGTCTGTTTCCGTGCTGTGTGACTCTATAAGTGACACTGAGTTCTCTACTGTGAACCAACCAAAATTGATCCCTCAATAGTTGTTTTAAGAGAGAGATTATCTTGTCATCTACCTCTGTGTTTGTGGGATGTTGCTGTGCCTGCATTGGTTGCCTTGTTTCTTGGACTGTTAACAGCAGCTCGGTTTCATAAAGAACGACACAGACTGCAGAGCCCTTTGGGACCCCTCTGAAAAAGCACTATGTCTATGCAAATTATTCTTTCCTGCAGAGAAAATACTCCCGACTGTGTGTCAGTTAATCTGTTTTCCTGTCTCTTTCTTTCCGTATCCCAGGCAACAGTTGCAGCTTTCGCAGCCAGTGAGGGACACGCACATCCCAGAGTTGTGGAACTTCCTAAAACAGAAGAGGGCCTTGGTTTCAACATAATGGGTGGAAAGGAACAGAACTCCCCAATCTATATATCCCGTATTATACCTGGAGGGGTAGCAGACAGACACGGAGGTCTTAAACGGGGCGACCAGTTACTCTCAGTAAACGGCGTGGTGGGTGTTGAGTTTTACTTATTTCTGGTGAATGTGACTGGTAGCAGCAAATGGGTGAAGCTGGCTGAAGGCCAAAGAGGTTTATAATGCCCCCGTTTTTCCTTTGTTGGTCAGAAATGTTACGACCGAGGTTGGTGCACTACCTCCCTCTATTCCCACAACTCCACAGGACAGAAATTTTCAAGGTGTAGAAGAAAATATTGTCAACCAGTTTGTTTTCAAAAAACAATCAGCAAAATTATTAATTTATTATAAAATAAGACTTAGTTCAGCAAATATGTAAATCTGATTGACATGCAGTTGGAAATAGGAGAGTATAACTATTTACCTTTCTAAATAACTCCAACACATACACAGTAATTAAAAGAAAACAAATAAGACTATAAGAAATAGAACAAGAATAGACCGTTTATCCCTTCAAACTTGCTGTACCATTCAATAGGATCATGGCTGATCCAACACTTCTCATGTCCACGTTTCCACCCTTTCCCTGTAACCCTTGATTACATGACTGATCATGAATCTATGCATCTCAGCCTTACACAAGGACTTTATGTTCGCAGCTGTCTGTGACAAGGAGCTCCAAAGACTCCCAACTCTCTGAAAGAAGAAATTCCTCCATATCTTAGTCTTAAAGTGATACCCCTTTATTCTGAGACTGTGTCCTCTGGCCCTAGCCTCTCCCATGAGGGAAAACATTCCAATAACATTGAAGCCCCATTAAGAATTCTCTATGTTTCAACGAGATCACCTCTAATTCTTCTAAACTCCAGTGAGTCGAGTGCCCACCTGTTTAAACTTTGCTCAGAAGACATTCCCTGCACATTGGGGATCATTCTAGTGAACTTGTATTGAACTGCCTCCAATGGAATGATATATTTCCTTCAATAAGGGGACCTAAACTGCTCATATTACTCCAGATATGGTCTCACCAGCACCCTGTACTTTTGCAGTAAGAATTCCCAACTCTTATACTGCAGTCTCCTTGAAATAAAGACCAACATTCCATTAGCTTAAAAGGAAGAACTGTGGATGCTAGAAATCAAAAACAAAAACACAAATTGCTGGAAAACCTCAGCAGGTCTGGCAGCATCTGTAGAAAGAAAGCAGAGTTAATGTTTTAGGTCCAGTCACCCTTCTTCAGCCCATAGTGATTTGTTCACACTTATAAAATCTCTGGTTTATTGGTTAAGAGCCGCAGTTTATAGCAACTGATAACAGGAAATAAACTGACTTTTTTTCAGGCAGAAGATTTTTTTACTGCAGAAAGAATGACAGCTCCATCCTTTCCAGAGATTTGGTGGCTTCTCCTCGCAATCTAATCAGGTGCCTCATAGACTCATAGAGATGTACAGCATGGAAACAGACTCTTTAGTCCAGCTTGTCCATGCCAACCTGATATCCTAAATTAATCTAGTCCAATTTGCCAGCATTTAGCCTATCTCCCTCTAAATCCTTCCTATTCATATACCCATTCAGATGCCTTTTAAATGTTGTAATTGTACCAGCCTCCACCACTTCCTCTGGCAGCTCATTCCATATACACACCACCCTCTGCGTGAAAAGCTTGCACCTTACGTCCCTTTTACATCTTTCCCGTCTCATCTTAAACCTATGCCCTCTAGTTTTGAAGCTCTGAGCGAATCGTTGTCGGCAGGCAAAAGGCCTTTGTCGTTGACAACAGATTATCATTCCACAGACCGATCAGCTACTTGTTGCCAGCTGAATCTCCTCTCATGCATACCCCAAGGCTTCAGCAGCTCTAAGTGCACTCCCTCCACTGCTTGAACAAACAGCACTGTAAATAGCACATTAAATGCATGACAGGTAACTTGCTTTTAAAATGTGCAGTAATCCATTCCTCAATCCTTGGTTTTTATAAATAGTCCATTTCCCATTTTAGTCCACAATCAAAATTACAGAATGGACCCCTTGTACTGTAAGCCGTAATATCCTAACTCAACAAGAATATATCAAAGAAAACAAAAAAAACTGCAGGTTCTGAAAATCTGATACAAAAACACAAAAGTACTAGATATATTAAGCAGCTCTGGTAGCCTGTGTGGCGAGAGAAGCTGTGTTAACATTTTGAGTTGAATATGACTGTTCTTTAGAACTGAAGGAACGTAGAAATTTTACGCTGAAGAAAGTGGAGAGGAGGAAGACAAGTATGAAGGGAAGGTCTCAGACAGGGAGGAAGGTCTCAGACAGGGAGGAGGGCGGGAGAAATTAAATGACAAAGGTTATGTGGAAAAGTTAGCAGAGGAAGTGGTAGTGGTCATAAGGAAAAGAGAAAGTAGACAAAAAGCAAAAGACTTGTCTAAAAATATCCGTCTCAAGGGTGATTATGGATGGGCAATAAATGCTGGCTCAGCAAGTGACTCCCATATCCGATTACTGATTTATTTTTTTAAAAGTCTTAGGCTTGAACATTTTGGTTGAGCCCTGCAACTACAGTTTCTTTAGAGGGGACAACTCCAAATTTTCAGTATTCTTTGTGTTTCGTGACATCAGCCCTGAATCACCCAGCTGCAGTGTTAAGACTCTTCCTTCCTCACCTCGACCCACCCCGCCACAACTTCTCTGCATTCCCTAACCACAGTAAATATCTCCCTCCATGAAATCTATCAAATCCTTAAGACCTTAACTTGACACCTCTCGAATTTCAAGAGTTGAAGGAATACAAGCCCCCAGTCTTTGTCTTTTGTCAGTCTGTTTGGATGTGTGATGTCATGCTGCTGTGGCTATCACATCTTGAAGTGGGATTTGAATCCGGGCTTTGTGGCCCAGAGGTAGGGTTATCTCTGTGCTGCAAGATCCTCCACAAGCCCGGTCAATGCTAACCTCATAACTTGATCCTTTTAGCCTAAGTATCATTTTGGTGAAGGTATACTGCACTGTCTCCGATGCCAATGCACCCTTCCTGAGGTGAAGTGCCCAGAACTGAACATGGTTACTCCATATGGGATCTAACCAGAACTTTATACAACAGCTTAAAGACTGGTAAGCCAAGACCAACCTTGGGTTTGGTTTGTCTATTCTGGCATTGTTTAACAGACTCCGTTATCGCCTTGACATTTTGCTGGACTGTATTTTAATCTAGGCTCTGTCTTCACAAAGAGCGCTGTAAATATCATCTTGTGCTTCCTTTCCTCTGAAGAGTTGTCATAGTCATGTGGCCTCTCTTGGCCAATGGGAACTTGTGGTGAAGGGAATTGGCAGCTTTTAAGGCACCATGAGCAGTGCTGTGTTTTTTGATTTTTTTTTTCTGACTCTCTTATACATTTAGGCACTTTGTAGATGTGACGTTTTGGTATAATTGTCTGCACGGCTACAGGCACTCATTGAAGCACTGTACTTTGCTGGCTATGCAGTTAAGTCACGATATTTATAACTCTTGCATGGAATGTGGGTGTCACTGGCAAGACTGGTGCTGGTTGAACACCCCTAGTTGCCCTTTAACCCATAGGTCAATTCAGAGACTGGCTAAGAGTCAGCCACGTTAATGTGAGTCTGGAATCATATGCAGGATAACAAGCCCGTGATAATGAGAGGTAGATGAGCTTAACTGCCTTCTATTTCTTACAGGGCTATTTATATGGCTGTAGGACACTCTGGCTGCATCCTTAATCCCTCCTTTGGCTTTGGTGTGTGTGCACATACGCGTTTGAATTATCGATATGTGTATTGGAATTCAAGGGACTGAACGTGGGATTGAGGGGGGTGCAGAATGGTGTTAAATTTTCCTTTCTCTTTGTCTTGCTGCCTCTTTGGATTCAGAGCGTGGAGGGCGAGCAGCATGAGAAGGCCGTAGAGTTGTTGAAAGCTGCGCAAGGCACGGTGAAGTTGGTGGTGCGATACACGCCTAAAGTCCTGGAAGAGATGGAGGCACGCTTTGAGAAAATGAGGACGGCTCGCCGCAGGCAGCAACACAACAGCTACTCGTAGGTCTCGGACGGCAGCAGGAACTGGTTAAAACCTTTTTCATACTGTACTGACTTCATAACTTGTGAGACAGATTCACAAATACACTGTGTCAAATTGACAAGCTGGTTGTCAAGCCTGACTTCCTCCTCCCACCCTTCACCTTAAACTGCAGCAGCCAGTTCATCTCCTGGGAGTGTTAATTTGATTCTAAGCCAGCTGGTGAAATATGAAACTAGACTCTAATATTTTTCTTGCTTTATTTACAGAATGCAGCATTACAAATGTCCGATTCCTTATGGCCACTCCACTGCGGCAGCAGTCTCTCTTTGTGCGCTTTTCAAAACGATTGAACAAAATCAGCCAAATTAAGCCAAACTAAAAGGGGGAGCTGTAAAAGTCAAATGCTCAAATGAAGCTTGCAAACTTTAAAATGCTGCTTGGGACAGAGATAATGCTCTCCAGATCCTGCAGTGTCCACTGGCTGGGGAAAGGCCTTAAGTGTGTGGATGAACCTTGCTTTGACTAATTAAAAAGAGGCTATAACATAAAACACCCATACATACATGGAGCACAGAGTCTTCAAGACCGCAAAAAAAGATATACAGGTGTGGTCTATCTCTGTGCTTTTCTAATAAATCAGTTAAAACAGTGAAACCAAATGAGTGAAATTAAGCAGGAGGCAGCTTCTCCTTATAAATGCTACACAGTAAACTGCTAGATACTAAACAAATGTTCTTCATCTGGTATCTTAACAATATAGTTAACGTCCCATGAATATGGAGGAGCAAAAAGTAAGGAGAAAACCCCAGAACTAATATGGATGAAAAATTCGCTGGAAAATTGCCCTCCAACAATCAGGAGTGATTGAATACAGTCCAGAAGGCCACATGGAGCATGTGTTTCAGAAACAACTGTCAGTTAAATAATGGAAATATTGACACCATTGCCTTCAGTCCCGATTCCTTTGTCACCAGCTCCATCACTCCTCCAGCATCTGTCTGAGGCTCAGCAAGACTGGTCGGTGTTATATTTGACACTGAGATAAGCTTCAAACATAATTTGACTGAGTTGAGAGGAGTTAATAAGCTCTGAAATTCTCCTATCTCTCCACCCGTCAATCTCTCTCAAAAACACTCTCCTTGAAACCTACCTGCTTTGCAAGGCCTTTGATTATCTGCCCTATTATCACTTTAGTCAGCTTGTGAGTTAGCCATGTCTTGGTAATAGCAGCTGTTGCTGCTCAGTCACAGAGTTGTTAGTTAAAGCTCCGTTCTAGGACTTGAGCACAAATGTTAAAGCCAACACTGCAGTACTGAGGGGTTACTGTTTTGTCGAAGGTGCCCTCTTTATGATGAAATTTTAAATCGAAGTGATTTTTGGGTCAGCAGGATCATGTCCCATGAGGAGGGATTGAGGAGACTGCGCTTCTGTTCTCTAGAGTTTAGTCAAAAGTCACACAACACCAGGTTGTAGTCCAACTGATGAAGGAGCAGTGCTGTGAAAGCCTGTGATTTCAAATCAACCTTTTGGACAATAACCTGGTGTCATGTGACTTGTGACTTCTGACTTTGTCCACCTCAGTCCAACACCGGCATCTCCACTTCACTGTAGGGTTTAGAAGAGAGAGCTGATCACGTTAAAATATGCAAAATTCTTCCAGACTTGGCAAGATAGGTGCAAAAAGGAAGTTTAAACAAAAACTGAAAGAACTGCGGATGCTGTAAATCAGGAACAAAAATAGAGATTGCTGGAAAAGCTCAGCAGGTCTGGCAGCATCTGTGAAGGAAATATCAAAGATTTTGTTTCGGGTCCGGTGACCCTTCCTCAGATGCTGCCTGACTTGCTGAGCCTTTCCAGCAACTTCTGTTTTTGTTGCAGAAAGGAAGTTTACCTTGCATGGTGGAGATTCTAGAACAGGGCACAGTCTCAAAATAAGAGTTAGGTCATTTAGGACTGAGGGAGAATTTCTTCGTCTAGAGGATGGTAAATCTTTGAAATTCTTTACCCCAGGGGGATGTGGAAGCTCAGTGTACAGCAATTGATAGATTTCAAAATCTTAAAGATATCAAGTGAGATAAGATTTGCCATGATCTAGTTGAATGGTGAGACGGGTCAGTGGGCCAAGTAGCCTGCTCTTGCTGTTACAGACTGGAAGATAAACTGTACTTAAACAAAGACAAAGTCCACACTTTTAGTGAGAGCATTTTTCAGTTAACCACACTTTATAAACCTCATACCCAGTGATTACCAGCTCCCATATTTACGCAACTAGTTGGAACCCAGTTTTTTTTTCAAAAAACCTATTTTCTAATCAACCTGTGCAGTGATGTTATTTCATACCTCTGGAGCAGGTGGCACTTGAACCTGGGCCTCCAGGTACAAGGGTAAGGACACTACCACTATGCCACAAGAGGGTTCCTTCAAACCCAATTTTTTTTCTACACAAATATTATCACACCAACTGAGCACCTTCGCACCACCAAAATCACTTAATCTTTTGCTTTTGTTTTAAACTAGATACCACCACCAGTAAAAACGCCTATGAATCAATAATTGAGTATTGACAAGTAATGGCCATTGTGGACAATGCAAGCCATCAAAGGTGAGGGGGGGTGCTGTGTAGGGAGAGCAGGAAGGGACTAAGTCAAAGTGCAGCTGGAGAGGGAAATAAAGCACTGTATCTCCCGCGGTGCCCACCTCTCTAAAGGCATCGAGAACCTTGATGCCTTCAAACCTAACTAACCCTCAATGAATATATCAGCTGTACATCCCTTCATGCCATATTGGATGATAACACCTACTTCCTGTGTTCCTAAACCAAGGCCCTGCCAAACCTCTCAGGTAGTTATAAAAGAATCCATGGCACAATTTCATAGTAGGGAAGATGAGTTATCCTCAGTGTTCTAGGCCAATATTTTATCAGTCACTTATAGGTACAAAGCCAGATTATCTGCCCAGTATCACATTCTTTGTGAGAGCTTGCTGCAAGCAGTTTTGATTTCCTCCATCACAGTAATGGCTACACTTCAAAAGTGTTTCATTAGCAGTAAAGTAGTTTGGTGATCTACAAGGCGCTATAGAAATGAAAGTTATCTTTAGTGTCATAAAGCTTGTAAAGCACATGGGATAATTATTATGTTCAAGGCACCATATAGATGTGAGTTGTTATTATGTGCAAAGCCACATCCCTTCTTTATAATCCGATCTCTGACCTACTAGAGAATGGTTTGACTGCCTTTTGGAGAATGTTAGAGAAGATAAGAGCATCCATCTCATCAGCTGACACAGTTTCCAAAGGCTTACCACTTCCATGGAAAATACAATATACAGTCAGTTTGTACTCTTTGGAGAGGAAGTGAGTTTGTACTCTCTATGTCAAACTGAAATACTCAGGCTATCCAGCCCTTGAATTATTTTATAAACCTCTCTCAGGTTTCCCCTGAATCCGTGTTGCTCCGAAGTTAAAAGGTAGCCAGGTCCTGAAGCTGACCTGGGTAGTGAAGGTTCATAATCAGAACTTTGTACAATTGTGCTGTAACTTCACTCCTGGTCTGGCATTTTAGAAGGTCTTTTTATAAGCTCGCAAGTTTTGGTTTTGGCAATCTTTGCTGATCTCAGAGGAGTCAGGGGCTTGGGGTTCTGTAACTGACCTCAACACTTGTGGATCAGGAGGGTGATTTATTAGTAAAATTGTGTATTATGATGTGAGATAAAAGATTTTCACTCAGTGAGTAGTTGGCATATGGAATGCATTGCCTGGAATTCTGGTGCAGGCAGGTCCATGGGAGGCATTCACAGAGCATTGGACAATTATTTGGATGGACATAATGTGCAGAGGTTTGGCAAGAAAGCAGGAGATTAGCGCTCCTTTGAAGAGCCAGTGCAGGCATCATGGGCCAAATGGCCTCATCTTATACTGTAAGACTTGAGTGATCCTGGATCTTTCCTTCTGATGCTGTCTGGCAGGTTCGAGTTCGGTGGTGTCCTCTCCATTCAAGTCAACACTTGCCATCTTGAGCTCACCTAATGTAGGTGAAGACTTTTCCCAAACTATTAGACAGGCATCTGAATCATCAACTGGCAGACTTCAGAAAGTTGAAAGCTGAGGAGAGTTGGTGGGGCCGGAGAATGAACAGAAAATGTTCAAATTTTTAGTAAGAGCATTGCTTTTGTGTTTTATAAGTAAGGTCTTGGAGCACTTAGATATAGAGTGACTTTTGTGCCACATTGAAGTAACTCACAGTTAATGAACACTTCCTGTTTATTAATTCAACATTTATTGCCGAACCCTAACTTAAGGTGTCTTGAATGCAACTGAGAGGTTTGCCAGCTTATTTCAGAGGGCTGTATCTGGTGTCAAACCAGACCAGGTAGAGATAGCAGGTTTCTCTAACAGACAGATTTTTATGATAATCTGAGTTTCATGTCACTATTACTCACACCAGTTCTTTTTTCTATTTCAGATTTATTTAATTAAATGTAAATTCTCCAGTGGCATTTAAACTCGTCTCTCTAGATTATTAGTCCAGGCTTTAGGATTACTAGTCCTAAATCATTATGCTAGTTCACCCACTTTTGAATTGTAATCGCCGTTGTAAGTAATTGCACTGAGATTTGCTACTGATCAGTACAGAGCTGGTCACTAACATGGAATGGTATCCAATTTATTATCAACATATTTGATGAAGGTTTTCAAAATCACAAAGAGGTCTGGACAGAATAGAAAGGAAGAAACTGTTCCCATTGCTGGAAGGATTGAGAAAGAGAGACCACATATTTGTGACTTGACAAAATTGACGGTAGTAACAATGCAGAGCGAGTGAATAAAGAAGAGGAGAACCATTTTCATGCAGCAGGTGCTTGGGGTCTGGAGTGTGCTGCCTAAGAGTGTGGTGGAGGCAGATTCAGTCGAGGCACTCAGGAGGGAATGGGATTATTATCCGAAAACAAATAATCAGGTTTACGCAGAACAGGCCGGGAGTGGCACCAGGTGCATTGCTCATTTGGAGAGGTGGCACAGGCAAGAGGGGCCAAATAGCCTCCTTCTGCACTGAAACCATATAAATTACATAAATGTTATGACATGCTTGGCTTCGGTGTACAGTTTGTAAGATCATATGAAATAGGAGCAGGAGTAGGCCATTTGGCTCCTCAAGTCTGCTCCATCATTCAATAAGATCATGGTTGATCTAATGTGACCTTAATTTCACTTTTCTTGTCTCTACCCAAAACCCTTGACACCCTTGTGGAATCAAATTTCTTTATTTTAGAGATGTTTGTGCTACAGACAAGAAGTGTTTAATCTGCAGATGTTATGTTTGGATCATTATGATTAGAAGTGCACTGTGCAGCTCTCTTGTTATCTTTTTTCCCCCGACAGGTCACTGGAATCCAGAGGATAGCCGGTTTGATCTCCTGTTTCCAGAGGTGGGCCTGGTACCAAGCATGTGATACAGCTGTTGTGCGTGTAGCTAAGTGACCCTCCCTCCCTGTTACTGTAGCTCTGACCGTGACAATCGCTGCAAGCTTAGTTAATGTGAAACAGGACGTAACCTTTTCACAAATAAATGTTCAGCACATGTTAGGGAGTTGGGTGGGTCAAAAAGAATTGTTTATGTTCCAGAATATGTATCTTGACACGTCCTTGGTGTTTACGTCCTCACACACCAAAGTAAAATACTGCAGATACTGGAAATCTAAAGCAGAAACAGGAAATACTCAGCTATTGAGGCAGCAGCTGTGGAGACAAACCAAGTTGATGTTTTACCTCAGTGATTTATTAACTGTTTCTGACTACTCAAAGCGTTAACTCTGTTTCTCTCTGCACTGCCAGACCTGCTGAGTATTTCCAGCATTTCTCTTTTCTTATTATAGATCAGTACGTCGTGGGTTTGGAAGCAAGTAGCAAAAGCGACAGAAGTTTTTCAGTGAAGTTAATACCTCTCTAAATGATGAGGATTAAAGGTAGCAAAAGTCCATAATTGTGGTAAGTCACTTATTTAAATAGTCAAGTGTGAATAGATACTGTTAAATGACTGACAAAAGTAAAAAATTACTGGAAAAGCTCAGCAGGTCTGGCAGCATCTGAGGAAGGGTCACTCCACCTGAAACGTTAATTCTGATTTCTCTCCGCAGATGCTGCCAGACCTGCTGAACTTTTCCAGCAATTTCTATTTTTGTCACTGTTAAATGACTGGTTTGTTGTCAGTTATATTTCCCTGCGCTGAATGGGTCTTTCACATTGAAATCTAAAGCACTAAGCACTATTTTAGCTCTACTGTTTGAAATATCTATTTGGCATTCTGAACTCCGCAAGTCAAGCCTTTAAGTGACGCAAGTTATGCATTTTGGATCAAGATTGAAAGTTCACCTTTGCTGTCATCTATTATTAAAATTTGCAATTTTAACGCAGGAGCAAGAAATTTGTTCAATTTAAAGTTCCATCTTCAGCTACATTAGATTGGAGAAGGAAGGTTCAACAGCCAGGGTCAGACTGATGGAGGCCAATGTAACGTGACTGGGCCCCAGTTACCTGAAATTTGTTAACTTCTGATGAATTGACAAAGGGAATATTTGAATAGTTTGGAATTCTGAAGGGAATTGCAGCAATGCGTGGGGCAATGTTTAAATGTTAACTTATAAATAACACTTAGTTGTTATTATGGAATGTGCCGGGCATTTTTGGGAAACATTTCAATCCCAGTAGTTTAGCGTATGATCTCTTCCCCACTCTTCGCTCCCCCAGGCAGAAATGTCTGGTTAGCAATTGTGTTGCTGCAGCATGTCTTTTATTTGTGCCTGATTGAGTACACATCTTGATCCAGTTTACTTGAAATATAATTGACCTGATCTTAACTTAGCTTCACATATTCTAGGAACTCATAAAAGGGAGTGCTTTGTAACTTAGCTCAGGCCTTTTGGATTTTAACCCAGATGCTGAACTGTTCTCCACTTAAGCTAGATGTGTACAGTGGCCTGCCTTGGTTTATGTCGGCCTTATGATTGACATTCCTTCGCCAAGCAGCGATGGTACTGGGCATGGTCACTCCATGCAACCTCCACTTTGGTTTTAACGTGTTAAAGTGCTGTGTGGCTGAGCAGTCTAAGGTGCTGGACTCAAGCTCCGATCAAATTGTGGGTTTGAATCCCATTGCTGCAACATTTTAGGGGCTCTTGTGTCTGTGCCAGAGGCCTAGGTTCAAGACTCACCTGTTCGAGAGGTGTGTTATAATATGTATGAATAAATTGATGACAAAAAGACCTACTGTTAGCCATGCTGGTCAAGGAATAAAGTATTTACGATTCCCTTGCGGTTTAGCGGTTAGGATTCAGCACTTTTACCACTGTAGCCAGGCTTCAATTCTCAGTCAAGGAATGAGGGCTTATGCATTGTATTGATTTATACTGCTCTTATTGTCCGGTGGTAGCGTCCCTGACTCTGAGCTGGAAGGCCTGGTTTTGGGTCCTACCTGTTCCACAAGTGTGCCTGAAAGGGTTGAGTAAAAATTATTCAGAAATGCAGGGATTATAATTGTCACCTGTTACCCATCCTTGCTTGTTATTGGGAGCCTGGTGGCTAATCATGTCCAATTGGCTATTACTAGTTCCAATGCCCATTGTACTTCCTTGCTGGCTGGTTACGGTCATGACCAACCTGTCCTAATCACTGATGGTTATTGCAGTGGCCAGTGAACCCACTTTACTGAACAAGCAGTTGACTAATTAAAATGCAATAAGCACTGTTTTAGAGAGATGTACAGCAGGAAGTAAGTGGCACACCTTTCTGCCACAGTTGTAGAGCTTATTAGAGTCAACGTTTTCAAGAAAATAAAATCACAGCCTAAACCTTGGAGGAGTTATAAATGGAATTTGGAATTTTCCTTTGGAATTACATTGCATTGATCTGCATTTTGAAGTTTGTTTGACTGATGCTCTTCAATGCAGCTGCTGCTTATTTTGTTTTAAAACTGGAGTGTTGGAAGTATCCAACTCCTTACAGAATATGAACAGACAAACTCTAATAAGCAGTGAATGGCAAAACTGAGCACCTCAATCTATATGCAGAATATACAACACAGAAACAGGCCATTCAGCCCCTCAGGCCTAGGCTGATCTTCATGCTTCAAAGGAGCCTCCACTGTCATCTCAGCATATCCTGCCTTCTCCTTTGTGTGTTTATCTAGATTCCCCAGCATCTAAACCACTCCTTGTGGTGACGTGATCCATATCCCCATCACTCCCTGGATAAAGAGGCTTCTTCTGAATTCCTGATTGGATTAATTAGCAACAATCATGGTTCAGTTCTAACACGTAGAGATACCTCTAAGATATCAATTCCCTGCATAATCTTTATCGGGACTCTCCTCAGCTTTATTTTTTTTGAAAGAAAAGAGCCCCTCTCATGTCTGATAGTTTTGATCTCTTGAGTTTTCACATATTGATTCCCAACCCTCCAAATTCTGCTGCCTTTGGTTACACACAGAGTTTGCCTTGTCCGAACGAGTTGGTTATTGCAGTGGGGGGGCGGGGGGGTGGGGTTACTTTTAGTTCAGTTTTACCATGCCTCCTGCCTACTGCCACTCTTTGGGGAATGGTGCTCTGTAAAAAAACATTCTAAGTGCTGCAAGATTCTAGAAGTGTAACTAGGCAAGCCTCTGAAAACCCACTATTCCCAAATGATAGTACTTTGTGGATTATTAGATTACTAACACTTTGGTGGAATGACCTGGCTCTCTGGGGCAACCTGCCGCCTTTTGCATGTTGCCATGCTAAAGTAAGCTTTAATGTTACTGGAATAAAGCTGATCAGATGTTGGGAATGCGTATAACAGTATTTTGACCATGAAAATAATTTAAATCCTACCTTCCCTTTCTCTTGTTGGCCTTTTCTCCGCTACACTGTCCTTGGCCTTTTTAAAGTCTTAACTGTGGTTTTATTCATTAACTGTTCCAACTTGATTTATTCTTATTTTGTTTAACCAAGTTTACGATACTTTTGTTCCTTTGTCACCTTGGTTCCATCTAATTTTTTTTTTTGGAGATGATAATGAAAGGGCAGGCTCATTAGATTGTCCTGTCACTGGTCAGTTTTTGACCATGAAAGTTGTGTCTGAATGGGCAGTGTAGCTACAGGTGGAGTAACCCATGATAGACTGCCATAGTGCAACAGCAGTGTGAGAGAGGTTTCAGCAAATCTATTGTAGCCTTCTGGATGTAGTATTTACAGACGAACATACCTCATTCGTTTCTTTCTGTGCAGTGTTTTATTTTAGAAGCATGAAAATTTGTTTAAGGATGAACAGATGTTCCCATTGTTGTCGTTCAAGTCCATGTCATGATGATCTGCCCACCACCCCATGCGTTCCTGTTCAGTTGCTCATTGGAGCCTCTTGTTTCCAACTCCAACGAGCATATGACTCGGGAAAGGAATACACACGGTGCATCCCCTTATCTTCCTTGTGTATACTCAGAGGAAGCAAAAGTCCTCTTCCTGAGGGATCCTCACCATTGTCCTCCAAGGTTCTAGCTCTCCTGTCATCATCACCAAAAACTCACCGTTTCCTCCATTGGCCGGGGCTTGTAACCCTGGGATGGCACCTTTACCTGGAACAGTAAGCAGATACGAAAGAATGTTCAAAACCATTTCCTCTGTTTTATAGTTATCATTCAATCCATTCTGCTACCTGACCCCTTCCCTTCAAGTCCAAATATCCTAGTGTTTAAAATGAGTACTCATTGTATAGGCTTATATCTGAAGGGCATGCAGTTTATTTTTGTCCAGTCATTACCTCCCCTTAGGAATGTTCGTTTCCTGCCTCCCTCCCCCTCCAACCACTTTACACTTCCCAGCTACTGAAAGTGGTGCAGTGCAATCCAACTGTAATCTTTATGTTTCTCCTGAATACATTTTGCCATGTACATGGCTTTAGATAGCAAGTGTTTACACACTATTCATCCATTCAAAGTATGATGACCCAACATTGTCTGTATCCTCACCTTCAGTTTGGCCATCCACCCTGCAGATGTCACTGAATACCAATTAGTTCTCTGTCTCCCTCTGTCTCTTTTCCCCCTCACCACCTCCCCCTGAGCCCAGGGATAATGCCATTTGTAGTGACCCCACCCCCACTGTTGTGGTCAGCTCACTCAGCGCCAGCCATGAAGGAAACCTGGTGCCTCCAGCTCTGTGTGTTTTGTAGTGACACTGAGTTGTGCCTTTGTCTGCTTGAAGGACCTTAGCAATGCTGCTTTCTAATCATTCACTACCTTCGTCTTTAAAATGTTAATATATATTTAAAAGTAAGTGTGTTGTATAATTAAATTAATAAAGAAATATTTACAATGCAGACCTCATGCTTGATAATATTTGAAACTGATCATTCATTATCTGTATGTAAAAAGACAGAAGGGCAACCAAATGTTGTCTCATTGTTTACTTGACTGACCAGCATGGATTTGGTGTTTCCCTTCAATTTCTGCTGCTAACCAGAATCTTCAGTGGCAGGCCTTAGTGTAAACCAGGAGAGGTGCAGCTATGGCACTGATGGAGATGTTTACTGGGCAAAGGTACATTTTTCCACCCAGAGGATGGTGCAGGGTCTGGATTGCACCTGCCTGGGAGGGTGATAGAGGCAGGTAACCTCAAACCTCTTTAAAAAATAACTTGGATGAGCACTTGAAATGTCACAACATTCAAGGCCAGAGGTCAAGTGCTGGAAAGTGAGGCTTGTGGAGATTTAGCGTAGTTTTGGCAGTACAGGTCTTCTTCAGTGCTGGATGATTCTATGGTCAAGAGATGGGAAGTGTAATTATCCCATCATTGCAGCCCGGGATAGCTGAAAGGAGGTAACACTGACCGGGGCCTCAAACCATGGGTGAAGGTATGCCTGTGTCTATCACATTATTTCCCACCCCGCAGTAGGTGAGATTGATTGCCAGCCCATTCTGGGATTAAATGTCAGATTTTTACAAGTAGGGGTGAAATGCTCAGCAACTCTGGACCATTGAGATTTGCAATTGGTCTTTGAAGCTGAGTAATACTCTGCAAATTGTGCACTTGCCTTGCCAGTGACCTTCACACCGATGTGTATGTGTGTAATTTGTGTGTGTGTGTGTGTGTGTGTGTGTGTGTTTGCGTGGGCGTGTGGCTGTGTGTGCACTGAGAGGTACCTCATCCCTGTCATAAAATGGCCATGCTGTGCATCACCTGTTGTTCAGTTGAGGCCATTGCTAGATGCTGGATCACACCTTCCTGACTGAACAGTGTGAAGTATTGTATATCTTGAACATATCTTTGTGTTAACTGGAAATAGATCTGGGGATGTCTGTAAATCCTGTATGTAATGTAAATGTACTAGCATAATATGCACTGATGTATATTGTAAGCAGCTCAAGTTTTAAGTGTTTGCATAATTCTTTCATATAGGTACTGCCTAATTTATTGCCCAATAAAACTAAAATATAATTATTTAAAACTGTAAAAGAAATGTGGAATGCTTTCTTTGCAGACACCTGAATGGTTTAGATAAAGGCACTGCAATGCAATTTGAAATGAGGTCTCTGTGAGTGCTTCAGAGCCTTAATACTGAAAATTTCTTTCAGTATAATTTGTTCTGTGCCAATTGCTTGTGTGAACTACTGGCGAGTATCTGCCTGCATCTCCGGCATGGCACATCTTTGCTTTAAATTTCCATCCACTCAGACGACTGATGAGACATGGCTTCAGATTCTGATGATGATGATGATCTGTGACACAGGAGGTGGGTGGTTTGTTGGTTAAATGTACAGTGTGAGCTTGAACTCGTCATGAATCATTGCCTCTTGGATCAGGACTGTTGCATGTAGTCACTTGGATGTTCACAAAAAGCCAAAGTCAAGCACGCACTGAGCCATGGTGTAAGGATCATGCGTCTAATTGAACAGTCAATGAGTGAGAGATTTCTGCATCCTGAGCCAGCAGGGGGCAGTGGAGTCCAGAGAAGCCAAACACGCAGTGCCATCCCTTGGAATGTGATCTAATGTGTTTCTGTTTCTCTAATCTAAATACTTTAAATGAGGAATTGAGCAGCACAATCTGACAGCACTTATGGAGGCTATGATGTCATAGGGTTTGTGACCAGCAGCTTAGGGTCTGAGCCCCAACTTAGGACTTGATGGCCACAAAAGATGCATTCACAACGTGGCCAAACAAATGTCAATCTGTAAGTCCTTCTGACACACCTGCGGCCAGTGATTATTCTGTCTCGAGCTACTGCCTACTTACTTAAACGCTGTCTGCACGTCCTTCAAACACTGTGTGAACGGACAGTGATATCTCACCTGAAGCACAACGGCCAGATGGTACTGCTCCTCCTCTTCAGTTTTCTTCCTGAAGCCACGTCTGCACCCCCACTCCTGCCACCTCCCCCCCCCCCCCCCCCCCCCCCCTCCCCCCGCCCCCCCCCCCCCCCCCCGTCCCCCCCCAGTCAGTCGAGCTTCTTACCCATTTAAAGTTTGAGAATAGGTTGAGGTTGATCTGGGCCCAAGGCCTCCAGTCATTCGTTTCACTGGGTGAAAACAATTTTCTCCCACATCCCTCTAGAGGTAGCGAGATGAAACAATTTAAATATTGAAAGTTGGGGGGTGGGAGGTGAAATCAGGTGAAGGAAACTGAAGAGACCAGAGGCACATCTGTAAATTTGAGAAGCCATTAAACCAAAACCACCTACACATTTGGGAAAACCTCCAAGCCTGGACCACTTTCTGAAACTCCTGGCAATCTGCTGACAAACAAGTACATTATCAACTTTCAGCCATTGATTTACAAAACAAACTGCTCCCCGAATGTAGTGGATGCTGGCACCTCTGAAGCATTCAGATGGAGATTGGATCAAGCAAGGGAGAAGTCACATTTTATCACATCTCAAAATGTCTACAAGTACTTCAGGTAGAGTGAATTACTGTGAAGTGCAATGATAGCTATAGAGGCAAATGCAGCATCCATTTTAGAATCAATTTCTGATTCAAACAGAAGAGAGTATTTATGGCCTGGAAGAATATAAACTAGCTTGAGCAGGTCGTACAGGACACAGTGGCCAAATTGCCTCATTACACATTATCCTCCTATTCACTTCTAGCAAAAAATATCAAGATTGTGACAGTTTAGCTGCAATTCATCAATTATACATCACAATAGATTAGAAACAGTTTGCTCAGCACTCACTGATGTTACGCATGCAAAACTATCTTCAATGCTGACTGCTTTTCCTGAGCTACAGCTGGAGATTTGAAGAGGCGGTTCAAATCTATAAGCTTCACCACCCCCTGACCCGACCCCAATATTTAAACTTCAAGTGACAAAATCTAATGAAGACAAAATTTACATTCATTTAGCATTTGTATCAAAAACAATGCAGTGTTGCGTTTAAAATGCAAAGCCTTTGTATTTTGTGTAGCTCAATGGCCTGGGCCCCTCTTTAACTGTCTAGCCTCCCCCAGCCATGCTGAGATGAGCAAATTTCAACCTCTTACACATCC